TGAGAGGAAGATCCCCTATCATTATTCCTGAGAGAAACTGGTAGTGCAGCCTGTCATTGCACAGCGAGCTCATAGTGAGATGTGACACAAAACATTAACCTGCTCTGCCCCAAGCAATCAGATCATGTGGAGTGCACTGGCAGTCCGTTTCCTGTGCTTCGGACAGTGTGTCTCACTGTGCTGAGTGTAATTCTTATGCTTTTAAGGTTACATGAAGTCACAAGGTGGGAAATTCTACACCTGACTTCATGCAACAAGTTGTAGTCAAAACACAAAGTATATGCTAAACAATATACGAAATTGCCTTTTGGTTATGGGTAATACATACATAATATGTACATAACACATAAATGAATTTGATGTTTAGACTTGGGTCCCATCCCCAGCATATCTCATTGTTTATATACAAATATCCCAAACCTGGAAAGATATCAGAAACACTTCTGATCTCATGCTTTTTCGATAAGGGAGACTCAACTTGTATATATCTGTATGTACATATAAGTAGCAACTAAATATAAATGAATTTCTTCACCTTTTGGATAAATTAAAGAACTAGCCATCTATTCCAACAATGAAGTAAATATAATCTATGTTAGATTATATTTATTTATTGAGACAGTATGTCTGTATAAATTACTTGGTGTAATATAAGGAATTTTCAAATATAATGTTTGCTTCACACCTTAATCCCTTGCATAAAATGTTATTCTATTTTATTTAACATTAAGCTAATCAGTAAAATCCAATTAAATTAAAAGTAAGTAAACATCATTGGAAGGTGTGTAAATGATTTGACACTATGGTCTTGGATATAAAGTCAGGCAATGAGACAACAGTTCATTACATTTTTGTTGTAATTTCTTTGTAACCCTAAGCTGCATTGTCTGTTGGAGAGGTTTGTCCATTCCCACAGCTTCCATTACTTGTGCTGATGATTCTCAACTTCCTCTCTGTAGCCCAGATCTTTTTTGTGTTTTTCCAGTGCTGGGGGTCTAACCCAGTGTCTTGCACATGCTAGGCAAGCACTCTGCCATTGACGCACACTCCCAACTCCTAGCCCAGGCCCTTCAGACTACATATCCAACTGACATCATTCATCTATCCATGTGTCCATCCTGGCAGAAGGCAAATCAAATGCATCGTATGTCCAAAATTGAGCGCCTCACTTCTTCATCTCTCCTATGCTCTTCTCCCCTCTCTTTCCCCCCTACTCTATCCTCCTATCAACCTTCCCTCTGCCGTTTTCTATTTCAGCAATTAACATCACCACTCTGTCCAAGCCAGCCACATAATAGGTACAGTCTTAACTTTTCTGTCTCGCCCACTTCCCACATTGAACACTCATTTCCACTTCATAACTGCTCTTTCAATTTGTTCATGTCCCTTTGTTCCAATGGTTAGTCCCCTGTCTGGGGCCACCATCACCTCCCAATCAGATTATGGCCACAGTCACATCCACCAAGCTTCCCACGTTGCCTCCTCCAATCCAGTCCATTCCTGTGACCCAATCCACTATGGCCATGTGATTGGGACAAATCCAAGGATGCTACCTCTGACCTGAAAATACTTTAGTGAATCCCTATTTTCTTAAAGGACACATTTCAAATTCCTTGACATGGTATACAACGAGCCTCAAGATTTAGACTTTGTCTACCTTTTTAGTTTGACGACAACTTCCATTTTGGCTCAGCTTTAATTACTCCATCCATATAGCATAACTGTAGAATTCTAGCTTCAGGAACAAACAAGATCAGACATTGGGACGGAACAAATGTAGAACCTGACTGGATGCCATTTCAATGAGCTGTGTCTAGTCCAAGAGAAAGAATATGAAATGCAGTACATGCAAAATTTCAAGGGGGCCAGTAAATTATTGTTGAAGGATTATTTACTGCAATTTGGGAGTACAGACTTCTATCCATCAGACCAAAATCTTGCTTAGGACATTGTTTGAATCTGGTTTAACAAAATCAATCCTTCCTGAAGGCTGAGGATTTGGAGATGCCCTCGTGTTTCAGGGATTGAGAAATGGTTCTCAGTGTGTTTCTGTGTTCAAGTAAATTCTTCCCAGAAGTATGTAATGCTTACAAACACGTCTCTGCTGGGAATTTTTGATCACTAAGCAAATGACAAATTTCTAATCTAGGAATTTCAGCTTACTTGAAGTTTTAAAATCTGCATTTATGCTTCATAATTATTGAGATAATCTATATTGTACTTGGTATTAAAGTGCTTGTAAATTTTTTTTAAAAACCAGGAATATTGTAGAATCTGATCTGTTAGCCACACAATCCAAATCTAAACTATGTAATTAACTGTAGACTTATACAATAAAAAATTATATCTTCATAGTGGGAAATAATTCTGAGAAAGAATATTTGATTTATTATACTTATAAATATAAAGCATTAGATTTTAAAGTGTCACTAAATGACTGTTATAGACACATCTGGGCATTGAAAGTGCTCGCAAAGGAAACAGATCTGTTAAATTTACAGATATTGTTTAAAGAAACATTATAAAGAAATTATAGTACCATAGCCAGAAAAGACATTCGGATTGTTCCTAGAAGGATGTGTGGGATAATAACACATAAAGGAGGATTCCAGTTGCAGAGAATGCCTTACATAAGGCCAGGAGGCTGGCAGCACACATAATGCACTTGAGGAACCCCGAGTTTCATTAAATTCGGCCCAGCTGCAAAACAGAGGGAGAGTAATTAGACTGTGATCTGCAGGTTAGGCTCTGCAAGCTCTCGGAGGGGGAGGGGCTCTCACAGCACCTGGACTGAGTCAAGACTCAGAAGGGACCCCCCTGGAAGCTTCGGAGTAGGAGCAATTAAAGCATCATGGTTTGCTGGAGACCAAAGTGCTCAGGACTTCAATGGGTTGGCTGGGGAAGCCCAAAGAGGTGAGGACTGAGACATCAGAGGTCAGCAGGGACTGAACTCAAGAGCAAACGAACTGAAACAGCCTGTGAGAAAGCCCATGTCTGTGCTGGCTTGTCTGCTTGGGCCAATTTAGGCGGAAAATCCACCCAAAAACAAATCTTGGGCAGATAAGCACTGAAAGTACTAGTTCTCTCTTCCCCCGGAATATTTGTCTACTACAAGGAGCTAGCACCTTTTCCCCTTAGATATCCCAGGAAGTGGTATGAAAATCAATATGGATGTTCCTAAAAAATTAAAAGTAGAACTACCTATGATATAGCTATACCACTCCATGGTATATTCTGAAAGGAACTAAAGCCAGCATACTATAGGGCTACTTGTATTTCCATTTTTGTGTGTGGCAAAAATCACAATAGCCAAATAGGAAATGAGCCTGGATGCCGATTGATGGAGGAAACATAAAGAAAAACATAATTGTGTCATTTGCAGGAAAATGGATGGAACCGAAGATCATCATGTTAAGTGAAGTAAGCTGCCTCAGAAGACAAGTGCTACATATTTTCTTTTTTTAAAATTAATTTTATTGGTATATTTTAGCTATACAATATAATGACATTGCCACATATTTTCTTTAACATGTGGAATAGAAAACAAACGCCATGAAAAACAAACCACAACAGAAAACCAAAGATGATGTGAAAGTGGAAGGGAGAGTAATAGAGGGGATGGATATGATTAAAATATGTTATATGCATTTCTGAAAATGCCACATAGTACGTTGTGAAATTAGTATGGACTCAATGTTCTGGGAAAGAGTGCCTGTTTTTAGTAAGAGAAGAAAAAAATAGTCACAGAGTTTGGGTTCTTAGCCTCTAATATGTTCTATTATTAACATCCACCCTGTAAAGGGTGAAAAGCTCAACTCTCATAACACAAGTGAGGTCTTGGGTTTCTGGGGACAGTGCCCCTAGCGACAACTCCCTACAAAAGTCTCAGTGGAGATGTAGCAAAGAGTAAGTCACAGTACATGGGAGGTGTCCCCAAATCCTGTCAAATGAAAGCCTCCTTTTCTTTCCTCCCCTGGAGTTTAGAAAGCAATGTTTTAAAATAGGATCTGGGTTTGTCTCAGAAAAAAATGAAACTGGGTGTGGTGCGCATGCCTGTAATCCCAGCACTCGGGAGGCTGAGGCAGGAGGATCACTGTGAGTTCAAGGCCAGCCTGGGCTCCATAGTGACTTCAAGGTCAGTCTGAACTATGTGGTGAGACCCTGTCTCAAAAACAGAAAAATAAGAAAAGAAAAAGAAAAAAGAAAAGAGAAAGAAAGAAAGAAAGAAAGAAAGAAAGAAAGAATAACTAGACCTTTCTGGAGATGGATAGTATACCTGGACAATTTTTCAAAGTTACTTTTTAGTGTTTTTGGTTCCAGGCTTCTTATATGTCCTCTGTCTAGGTCAATGACACGCATGTCACCTTTCCCCCTACATCTACGACCTTGTTTTCGAGTCCAGGGAGGATAAATTACTATCTGTAACCACTGTTGACAGAATAGACAGAAAAAGTCTATTCTAATTTCTTGTCTGGTCAAAATACGCTCCTAGACTCTTTTTTGTTGTTGTTATTTGTTTCTTTGAAACTATGTAGTTCAGGCTGGCATTGAATTCACTGCAGTCCTCCTGCCTCAGCCTCCTGAGTGCTGGGATTACAGGCGTGAACCACCACGCCCAGTTCCCAGTTTCTTTTCTTGCTCAAAAGGCATTACTGGTAAGCACAACATTTTATATATTGTAAATTCTAAAGGAACTATTATGGGGACAGATTGTAATGTCAATAAAATGTATCAAACACCCTTGAGTATAAAATATAGCAAGTTTTAAAATATACTGCATACTGCTAATAAAGTCTGTATTTCTTTAGGCAGAATTTAAAATAAAAAGTGCAAATCACAAGGTCTTACATACAAAAGAAGTTACAAAGATTGGTGGAGTGGAAGCAACAGGCAATGAAGAAAGTTGCTCTCCTCTTGCCTTACAGGTGAGGACTCCGTGAACCTGGTATCTGAAAAGACGCACACTAGCCAGATATAATACAAACTGAAACAAACCCAAATGGGGGGGGTTCCCAGTGATTTTATTGAGGTAATGTTTCCCAATTTTATACATGTATGCATTTATATATACTTAGGGAAGCTAGACAATGTTCTAAGGCACTTAGAATTGTGCACAGCAATATCTCCTATTACAGTATACCACTAGACAGAGCAAAGTTTGCTTTTTAAATAACACAAATACCAATATGGGATAAAAAAGATAATACATGGTCTCTTTTTCAGGTTACAATAGTGGAATACATATACATATGTGTGTATACTTGTAGATATTTATACCCACATTCTATAATACAGTACAGATTAAGAACAACAACAACAGAAAAGATAAACTGTTGTGTTAATCAGTATGCAGTTCCAGTTATTTACACTCACAGATATTATACCTGTGTAACACTAGATCATGCACTGGAAGTTAGGAGTCATTCAGTTAGTCTGATAATGATCACAGTTTACCATTCTTAGCACTTTAACTGAAGCTTGAAAGAACAAAAAATGCAGATAGTCCATTTTTCAAAAATTACTGTCACAGAGGAAAAAAACTCCCGACTAGTTTAAATTTTAGTAGATATTTAACTGGCAAAATTGGTGTAGAATGTTTCAAATACACTGGCACATTTCTAAGCCACAAAGGAAATACTTTAAAAAAAAAAAAAAGAAAGAAAAATTAGTGCCCATATTTTAAGTGATGAAAGTGGTCTGACCCTTCATTCATTCTGATATTTCCAAATGCTGGTTAGCACTGCAGTGGCAACTTCTCAGTGTGGAGGCTTCCTAAGCAATGTTAATGATACAGTCAAACTATAACAAAAGCATCGGGTAAGGGAAAAGCTCCCCAGATTGGCAAGTGGCACAAACATTATTGCCATCTTAATACACCCTAAAATAGACCTGAGGGTGGAGTGCCATTCTGTCTCATTCACTCCTTTCAATTCTTTGTGTAAAAAAAATATTGCTTTTAAAAAAGATAAGAATTTTTAAGCACCATCTATGAGTTTACAATATAACCACCTTTATCAACTTTGAGTTGCTCTGCCTCAAAATCTTGTCTGGAATTTTAATATTTAAAACAAATCATAGTCACTAAATTAATTCCATCCTCCTAGCCACAATTCATCCAAATAATTTTAAGACATATTAACCATTCAGTTTCAGATAAAAAGTGACAGAGAATAAGTATGTTTCTGTATTATTAGGACAGTTCAGTAATATTTCACCTAGATAAAACCCATCTTATTTCATGTATGACTATCACTGCAGTATGAATATGCATGCAATTCACATTAATCCACATTTCCATCATAACAGTATTCACAAAGCTTATTAAAAGAGTTGAACTGCGCAAATGTATGTATTGGAGAATTCAAGCCTTTGCATTTGGATGAAATGCTTCATTCCTAGGAGAAACAGGAGATTCTTTTGGAACTTATTGGCTGCTGTGTTACCAGGTAAAATCTAATAGTGACTTCCAAAGACAACTAGCTTTGTTTATACAGATTAAGAGTCACTGTGTTCGTGTTTAACTCTTGCAACAATCCTCATGACACCGATAAGCACGATGACCAGCAGTGCAGTTCTGGGGTAAAATTGTGAGAGAAAAACAAAACAAAAAAAAGCCTGCTTCGTGTAAAATCTCTTCTTTAAGTAGATGGAGGGGCCAGGCCAAGTTACTATGTCAGCTGACTGGCCTTACCACAACTGCCCTGATGCCTCTTCCCCCAAAGAAATGGCAATAAAACTGCACTGAAGCTGAAGGCTCGAAAAGTGAAGGGGGCCAAAGAAAAGCAAGGCCACAGAAATAATGTTTTGGGATCAGTCTCTTTTCCTGTGTGTCATCAAATTGCAACAGACAGTGGTCTTCAGGGGAGGGAGTAGCACTCTCCTGTAGACAGCCAATGAACACAGGAAGGCTTCTTACTTTTGGTTTCCACAACGCCTTCGAATGCTACTGGCATTTAGTCAGCAGCAGCATGCGGTACTAAGTACCCTGCAATGCGTGGGATGGTTCTGTACAACAAAGCCCAGACCCAAATGCCAACAGCATTCCGGTGAGAAACACTGATCACCAGCACTGGGCACGCACGGGCAGCTGTGACAGCGATGCCGCAAACTAAATGAGATTTTATATTTCTGTGCAGTAAATCCTAGCCTAGCTAAAAATGGCCCTTTTCTAGAGGGCTACTTTAGGTGCGAACAGCTGCCTCAGGAGGGTCCATTTCTTCATCAGAAATCTTACAATGTATACAATGGGATTTCTTAATTTGGGATGACCCAGACTTCAAAAAAGCATAGCTGGGTTGATTTCAGCTTCTTTTGAGGTGGTTCACGTTTCCAAACGAAACTTAAGCTCAGCAATTACAAAAAGTAACTGGCAAGTGAAAATGTGAGTGGTGTGGGGTTTTCTAGCTTTGCTCCCACAACCCTCTGGCCTCCACCTGCTCTTCCAGTAGCACCTAAAGTTCCCCTTAAACTTGGGCTTTGCACTGTCCAGGGGACATGCTTTCTCTCCAAAAATATTCCCCTTAATGGGTGGTTACTTTGTCATTGCTTTCTCCTCTAGAACATACCTGAACTCTGGAAATGCACTTTGCTTTGTTATGTAAGACCATAGTGTATCCCACTAGGAAGTAGAGGGAAAATACTAATGAGAGATTAACCATTTCAAGCAACCCAGGGGAAATGTCATAGATAAACTGCATCTGAAAGATTTTTTTAGTGCTTACAAAGTACTCTAATGATCTGAAGAAATAATGATCTCAAAGTATAAACTTTTACTACAGAGGATAGGCTTAATATACATGAAACTTAGGAATGCTTAAACAGTTCTGCCATATTGATAAAAATGACAGAAGTTCATATATCTTGTTAGTTTAAATCCACCTTACTCTGATAAAAATTTCTAACTCTGAAATATGCTTCTAGGACCACTTAAAAATAGTAACAGACTTGGGGCTGGGGATTTAGCTCAGTGGTTCCAGCCCCTGCCTCGAAAATGCAAGGTCCTGAGTTCGATCCCAGGTACCAAAAAAAAAAAAAAAATAGTAACAGACTAGTGAAACTTTTGAGCCAGAGGGGAATAAAATAGTTTTCACTATTTAAGTATGGATGTGGTGGATAAGAGTGTCTTCTTGTATTCTGAATATTGTATAATTTTTGAAAGTTGTGTCTGCCTAACTCCATGAAGTACAAATAAAATGCCTGTTGTGTATTGATGTGGTTTATATCAGAGTATGCAGTGTTCATGCAGATTTTTTCTCTTTTAAGTGTAAGCTATTGTATTTTTGTTCTAAATCCAACTTGGCACTAAATTAGTTGTAGGATTCAAAATCCGACTTATGGATTTTAAAGATGCATAGCTCCTCTTTAATATTTGGTGATTTTTGAAGGGTGTATTGGTCCTTCTATTTCCTTATATTTTCAGGTAAATTTCAGAATTTTTTACTGACATTAAAGAAAGGTAAGTAACTACACTCATTCCACTACTACGGGTATAAAGATGAAACCAGAAAGTCAACATATTTGGATAAGTAAGAAGGAGAGATATCATTGCTTTTTCCTTCAATTAAAACAGCTAATCATATGCCTAAGATTGTTCTCTGAATAGTGTAGGTTTTAGTTAACTATTTAAGGAATTAAAGAAAGATATAGCTAACACAAGAAAATGCAAGACACTTCACATACTCAGGAATTATTAAACAAGTTGCCTTAATGCTGATCATCAGAGACCTAACTTTGCAGATTGATTGGTAATGACTAGGAAAATGCTGATGAAGCCTACGTAGCATCTTCTTACTACCTGGTTACTACTCTGGATTTTATACTCTACTTCTTTTCTGCCCAGAACCTTCCTAGGGATGTTGGTTTTCTTCCTTAATCATCTCTCAGGGACCCAATAAAACCTGCTCACTTGTTCTACATAAGCCTAATTAATGGTGGACGTTAGCAAAAACCTGGAATTGTGTTACAACATTTTTTTTTTTTTTAGTACCGGGGATCAAACTCAGGACCTTGAGCTTGAGAGGCAGGGGGCAGAACCACTGAGCTAAATCCCCAGCCCAAGAGATTGTGTTACAGCAGCAACAACAAAAATGAAATCCAGGGGCTACAGGTGTAGCACAGTGGTACAGTGTGTCCTAGTGTACACCAGCCCCTGGGTTCAATCCTCAGCATGAAAAAAAGACAAAAGAAAACCAATTCTCAAACACATTTCCTTTCCTTATAGAACAGAAGCACACTGGTTGGATTGTGGATGTGGGCGGAGGCAGGATCGCAGGAAGAGTGGCCTGCGCCTTTGCATCCTTTCAGGGGTGCAGGGCGGAAGACCCCAGGGTAGGATGCTGGTGGGGTTATGCAGGATTTCTACCTCTTAAAATTAACCAAGAAAATAGATTTACTCTGTGAAATGCATCTTCACTCACAATTCTTTAGTTCTTTGTACAGTCTTTTATTTGAGGTATCATTCTAATGAAATAACTAGTAGTCCAATGACTTAAAGATTAGATTAGTAGTAGTTAAAGTATTTTTTAAAACTTCTAACATAGGGCCGGGGATTTAGTTCAGTGGTTTTGCCGTCTGCTGCGCAAGCGCAAGGACCCGAGATCGATGCCCGGTACCAAAAAAAAAAGAAAGAAAGAAACTTCTAACATAAAATTTTCTCTAAACACACTGATGAATATGAAGAAAAAGTGTGGGTAGTTCATTTATCTGATATATTATACAAGGAAAACAATACATTGAAGTACCAATTTTTCATTTTTGTACTGGGTGGATCTTATTGTAGGGAATTAAAAATTACATCAATTGCTCCACAGGGAAAAACTGTTCCTTTCACCAATCTAACAGAAACTTTCTATGACATGTATCCTAACTGAAGTGGTAATAATGTCTTGTATTTACTATTACATAGAGAGACCTGTGATTAGAAATTTTTAAAAAACGTTCAATGAGTATAAGCATAGAGAAAGAAAAGAAACATTATATTCCTGGTATTTCTCCCAAGACACTAAAATGACATTGAAATACCTAAAGAAAAGGATGATTTGGGGAAAAAAAGGGGAGCAAAGTTAATTTTTATGGCTCAATTGAAACACTGTAAAACAAGAGCTTGGTGGTATAGCTCAGTGATAGAATACTTGCCTAGCATGTACCAGGTCCTAGCAGCACCACAAACAAACAATACCAACAAAAACCAGACAAAACATCAGCCAGAGACAGACACTTAGGCATGCAAAGAAAAATTTCAAAGCAAAATATGTCTTATCTGATTAGAAAAAAAGACAGGAGTACAGAGAGCAGGTTTATTTTATTAATGCCCATAGCTGAGTGCAGCAAGAGGTACAATAATGCTGGTTACTTTTCTTATAAAATGGTCCTGGCTTTTTATAATAGGCCAAGAGGGGAAAATTTTTTAAAAAAGTTTGAAGTAAAATCATCCAATTTGAAATGATTTTTTAAAAAAAAATTACCAATGAATGGAGGAATCTAAATTTAACTAATTATTTAATTAACTAATTAAATTTAACTAATTTAACCAACAGATGAAATGCTTAGTTTTGGGTTGAAATTAAAAATTATAGCCTTCCACATTCCAAACCAGAAGCAATTCAGGAAATTCTACTCTGAGCTCTAAGAATAAAATAAACTCTAGTTAGGTCTTGCCTTTTTGTTACATATTTTTAATAAAAAGGGGCACAGAACAACTGAGAAGAACAATTAAATGCAAGGTGGTATTTACACACATTCAGGATACGGGGAACAGGGGTCAAACTGAGCTTGGGATTCAGTCCATGAGAAAGGGCACTACAATAACAGGGCTTCTCGATGGATGTAAACAATACTGCTTGTAGGCTCACAGGGAAGCTGATTTTCATCTCACTGATCTCTGGGATTGAAAATAAGTACTGTATTTATGGATGTGATCTGCAGACTCTTAATATAAAAAAATGAGCTTCCTCCCACACACAGAACTTAGCAGAATTTTTTTGTGTTCTTTTAAGACTTGGGATATATATTTTCTGATGCATGTATATTACTGTTTTAATAGCAGCAACTCAACTTTTTTTTTTTTAATGCAGCACTGAAAAAATAACTGGTCCTTTGCATTCCCCCTCAGAACTAATGGGACACAGCACACAGTTGTACATTACTTAAGTTTTAACTTTGCATTCTTAAAATGCTATACTATCTTCTTGAGATCAAGTATGGTTGCTTGACTTTGGAGATAATTGAGATAGGGAAAGAAAAAAAATTAGATTTGTTCCTAAAGCTATGACAGTTTTATAGGGTTACATTGCATCTGACTTTATGCCCAGTGCCATTATCTTCGTGGAAAACTGACACTGTAGGAAAGGGGTATAAAAAATGTCAAGTGTGTGTACAGCTGTGCTACTTAAAGCATACAACAAAATTTGGATAAGCATGCTTGGTAGGAGTCAGTAGAAGTCTCTTGCATTTAAGAAAAAGATGCATGAAAACATTCAGATTTGTTTCTGGCAACTGGATTCACTGGCACAACATAAAATAATGGTACAACAAGAATATTTGTGTAAAATTCAGTCTTTAAGGAACCCACACTGGGTATTAAAGATTCCCAACCCCTTAATAAGTTCTCAGCTACCAAATGCCTACTTCAAAAATACATTTATGCTTCAACTTTCTCTTTTCTTCATTAACATAATGAAATATATCTCTTTCTTTCTGATTTTCAACTCCCACCTCTTTCCTGTGCCCAGCAATTTTTCTTTAATCCATAGGCACTAAATCTTTTGGCTTTCTGGTAGTAGGGAACCGGTGATTGTCTTCTGCTCATCTTCTTTGATTAAAACTCCTGATGAAGAATAGCTGCTGTAACCAATGTCCCTCACCATCAGTGCACATTGTGGGCAACAAGGTTACTGCATCCTTCCCTTTGCTCACTGGCCCCCTCTGGGCTGCAGAGGTGAGGAGTACTTGGAACAAAGCTGAGTCACACACTTCCTTCACCACAAGTTAAATGGAATCACACACATTCAAGTCTCAGTGCAGTATCAGCTTTTCGGGAAGCAGGGCTTCTTTCCCCTAAAGATGATCAATCTGTGCTTGCAAATAGTCCCACACTCCTTTATGGACGATGAAACCTGGGATAAGAAACAGAAACTGTGAGTCTGAGTACCCTGTACTCAGCGATCTAAATAGGGTAAGGTGAGGTTTACAAGGAAAGGAAGCGCTAGACGTTCACCAACTGAGTTACTCTATAAACCACAGTCTTAACAGAATATTGTTATAAATATTATGTTGAAAACAAAGACGGTCCTTATACAAAGATGCTTATACATCACTCAGGTTATAGAGCAATCAAGACAAAACATCACTAGCCTCGACAACACATTCTCACTCACAAAAGGACGTGGTGCTACCTGGTCTACAGGTATAAGAGGAAAACAACAAATAGTCTTTATTTCATAATAATAGTCTTTAGCCTCTTGTCAGTTCCAGGTGCTGAGTCCAAATCAACTTGCAAACTGCTCGCTGGTCATTTTACCCAGGTGTTCCACAGGTAACATACTAAGCATGCCCTCCACTACATAAAGGCTGTTGTATGTTCTAGCTTGTGTAACAGCCTACCTTTTAAAATAGTTTCAGTCTAGACACATCAGATTTGCAATTTATTTATCTCTTTCACCTTCCATCTCCCTTTCATCACCATGTCCTGCCTCAACTACCTGTCTTTGAATCATTAAAGCCCTCACCATCTTTTGTGAGCACCACTTTGATGGTCTGCTTGGTAGCTAGCTAGTGGGGTTCATGCTTTCTGTGCAAATTCTAGAACATTCCTGCACTTTGTAGCTCTGTGCTTTTGAACATGCTGTCCCTAATACTACAATTCCATCCCTTCGTCTCCCATCTATGGTTTCATTATCAAGATCAAGGTCAAAAGCCATCTTCTTCATAAAGCCTTATCTCATCCAGCTCTTCGGCATACTTCCATAATTCCACATTTATGCAACTTTTCTCAGCATTGCCCTGTTTTCTGTAACCCACTCCTACTCCAGTGTGCCAGTTAATCTCAGATGTCAATGTGATTGGATTAAGAGACTCTCAGAGAGGCGATTTGATCATGGGTGCACTGTACTCATCAGTGGATTAGTCCATGGATGTTCACAGCTGAATGGTAAGATTGGGCCCAGGTGCAGAAAGTAGTCACTATGGGCATGCCTTAAATCTCTCTCTAGAGCTGTCCTCCTGAGCCACCATGAAGTGCACACCTTTACTGCACCATGCTCTTCTGCCATGATGTTCCTGCCTTAGAGCCAGCCAAGCATGGACTGAACTCTCTGAAACCATGAACCAAATTAAACACCTCTTCTCTTTCAAGTTGTTGGTGTCGTACATTTTTGTTCCAGTAATGGAAAAGCCGACCAGTACACTTGATAAACTAAGTCTCCTAATTGATTTCCCTGCCCCAGGCTCTCTCCATCAAATCCACGCTTCAGACTAGTACTATTATGAAATATCACCCCCACTACTCCAGTTCTTTGTTAAAAGAATTGCATTGTTCTTCATTCTCTACAAAGTAATATTTAAATTTCTTGGAGTGGTGGGGCAGGCTTTTCAGAATGTGGCCCAACTCATGTTTCAACTGTATCTCTATCACTGTCCCCTAATACTGTTAAATCCCAGACATTTGCTCCCCAAATGCTTTTGTGCTCCTGTTTCTTTCTCCACTCTCATCTTTCTTCCCATGTCTACTTTGTACAGTCTCACTTGGTGAGGTCCCCACACTCCCTTCTCCTCTCAGGAAAGCATTGGTGGCACTCTCTTCTGTGCTCCAATAGCCTTTGGTTTGCACCAATTAATCCCCTGCTGTGGCCTTTGTGCAGGAGGGGCTCTGCTACTGCACTGTGAGAAGCCCAGGAACAGAACCCTTCCCGTTCATTTTTACTTACTCACACAGGCAACACCTGGTATGTGGTGCATCGTAATAAATGTGGCTGTGATGAATCCAAGCATTAAAAAATGAATACAAACAGAGGAGATAAAATAAAATAAAATTGGCTGTAACTGGAGAAGCTGCCGGATGGATACATGGGACTTCTCATATTATCTCTGTATGTCTGACTTCCTGGAAGAGACACCAAACTTTTCAAAACTTTCAAGTCAGTTGTGCTAATGCAGGGGTGTGTCCACTTGGAGTTAAATTCTTAACTCCAACCCTGACCATAACCTTGGTCAGATGTATAATCTCCATGTTTTGCATTTGACTTTCTTTCCTTTCTTTCTTTTTCTTTCTCTCTCTTTCTTTTTCTTTTTCTTTTTTCTCTCTCTCTTTCTTTTCCTTCTTTCTTTCTTTCTCTTTCTTTCTTTCTTTCCTCTCTTTCCCTTCCTTCTTTCCTTCCTTTCTTTCTTTTTTTTTTTTTTTTGACACAGGGTCTCATTGTGTAGTTCTTGAACTATGTAGCCCGGGCTGGCCTTGAACTTGAGGCAATCCTTCTGCCTCAGCCTCCTGAGTGTTGGGATTACAGGAATGCACCACCACACCTGGGCCATGCTTTACATTCCAGACAGAAAGACATCACTAGTTCAGTCACTGGGCCCTCAGATCATGGGGCAGCCCCTTTCTCTTTACATCAGCTCACTTCCTTTGGGGGTAGAATGTTTGTCTTCTCCCCTAAGTGGACTAGTAGCTCCCTCTTGTCATTTTAATCATAGGCTTCCTCTTGTTTCCTTAAGAGATTCATTTCCTGGCCATTTAATCTATCCCAACCCTTGCCCCTCCCTCAGCATCCTGTTATATTTTCTTTACAGTAAGATGGGACTATCCAAAGTGACTGCTGATATCTATTGCCTGTTAAATTAGGCATCTTATCTTCAAATTTGGCTCTCAAATGTTATGTTCTGAAGTACTGAAAATGCAAATTATTCTTAAATTTGTTACTACTCAGTGGTTTGCGTTCACTTTAAAACATAAGTTCAGTTTTACATGCTAAGAAGTTTGCCTATCTGTTGGAATGACAGTTTGGGCTTTAGGGTTCTGGCCAACGGAGCAATACATAGATTTACCACATTCTAAAGACACTTAAACTTTAGGTCTACCCTCTTTTCAGAATTTCCCTGAGACTCAAATTTGAAGTTATGTATATTTTCCTCATTTTAAAACTGATAAACATTTTTATTATTTTCTACTGAAGAGAGGGCATGAATAAGGGAGAAGCTATTTTGAAATCATGGAATTCAGATAAAGGGTAATTATTCCTCTAATGATGGTTCCTCCACAATTTAGTTTTTAAAACTTTACTCATCTACCTATAAACTCATTAAGATAATATAAAAATCTTAATACTCACAAATATTACTTCCCCATTTGATACATACAGAAATCCTGAATAATCCATTTCTCTTTATTTTACTTATTTTCCAGTGCTGGAGATCAAACCCAGGACCTTGCCCACGAGAGGCAAGCACCCCACCACTGAGCTGCAGCACAGCGCCTACTCTCTTCCTTCAGGAGAGTTTCACCCTTGTGACATGGCACACAGGCTTACATTGATCACATGAGGAGGCTTTCCTAAACCACAGCTCACTGTTCTACCTGAGAGGTCAGACCCGGTGCTGGCTGGGTGCTTCCTTGCTTCCAATACTGAGCCAGGCTTGCGACTCCAGGAGATGAGGAAGCATTTTGCAAATATCTGTGTACAAGCAGAGACAGTAATCTCTGTGGAGGACCCCTCAATGAATTTTTATTACTGCCCCAGGTATGGTTCTGACGATGTCATGATCTGATTAGCTAAACTTATCTAGCAGCTGACAGGTGGTCTACTTTGTAAATTCACATAGGATGGTGCTACCTCAAGAAGGTTCAGAATGAGATAATTTCTTTAAAAAAGTGTATGTGTGTAACAATATTACATTAAGAATATTTGAAAGTAGAGAAAACCCTATTATAAACCATTAAAGAGTTTTTGATATTATTTCTAAAATCTTTTTTGTAGGCATCTGAATTTTAAATACACTACTGCTACATATCCAGTTAGTCAATATCCTGATTTTTCCACTTGACATAATGCCAGTAATCTCTTAGACTCATTTTCACTCAAACCTTCAACTCAGTGATTTTTGTGTCTGTGGTATATACTTTAGTATAATAAGTAAGAATTTATAAGCTAATAAAATTACATATATGAAAGTACTTTACATGCTGTAAAAATGTTATTTACAAAATTAAAAGTTTCTTTTCAGAAAATGATGTTCTCTCCGGATTATACATCTGATACATGTTAACACCTAAAAAAATTTGGAAAACAAAAATTATCCAGAAGATTACTCTTAAACTTACCACTCAGCTATAATCATTTAAGAGTTTAGTTTGTAACTAAAGTTTGATCTTCCACGTAATTTGTCTTTATAACTTAGTGAGTCATTTCATATTGTGGAAAATGCATTTACTATGGAAAAGGAAGTGGCTTTTCTCTGTCATGGTGGCCTCTACTGAGACTACAATGACCTGTCTAATTAGTCTACACAATCTGCTGTTCAAGTGGACTTTGGGGATTTGAACCAAGGGCTGACTGGGCAGCTGGGGAGAAAATGCAAGATGTGGCCAGCCAAACAGCAAGTGCTGTAAGGGACTGAGGTTACATCTTGGTACCCTAAATTCTTATGGGGTGTACTTATCCCCACCCCTATTGAAAGGCCCTCTCATGCATTGCAATTCCAGGAATACTGGGATTTGGAGAATTATAGGAAGAAACTGGGGCAATTCTCTGAAAGAACTGATCGCCACCATGCCTCATCAAGGCAGATCAAACATGTCACAGAATGTTCCATGATGGAGGTACCAGAGGTGTCTTCTTGGGTCACAGGACAGTGGAACTGTCACAATGAATATTAGTGCCAATATATTATTGAAGACAAGCCACCATGATGGAATCCTCACTTACAAAAATCAGGACTTGGGGAATGGATCCTTCAGTTTTTCTTTTATATGCTTGTTTTTGACTAGGTAAAACATTCTTATGTCTAAAAATTCAAAAGATTCCTAAGGATAATTCTCCCCCAGCCACCAGTTTAGTTCCCCTCCCAAGAGGCAAGCAATGTTTTGTGTACTTTTTCAAAGATACAAATACAAAGGAAGCTATCTATAGGCATGGGTCCTTCCAGAGCTCATGGATCTACTGCTGTGTGGATAAAAAGGTGCCTGAGTATAGGAAGCAGAGCTGTCTCAACCCATTTATTAACCAACTCAAATCCACAGGGAGCTCAGAGACTCAGGTTTGAAAGGCAAGGCTTACTTGGTATAAGCAGATAAAATCTAGCACTGATTAGAAGACAGGAGAGCTGCTGTGTACCTAGGTTGCATTTAGAGGCCAAGATAATGATTCATAAGTTGTTTATAACTCCCAAGGATGGCTGGGGCTAAGAGTACCATGTTTTTTACACGATCAATTTTTTAAATGGAAAACATTACCATATTTTTGTCTTATTTTGATTAGAAACAGTAATGTCTACCAAAACTTTTTCCTCTTAAAAGAAATACTGAAAACAACTTGAAAATCCTAACCATGATTTTTTTTTGTCTCCAAAGCCAAAAATGTTTCCCTGCTGGAAGGCAACTCTAATGATGTCATATAAATCAATGGAAAAAATAGCAGTAGACATCAGCTTTACTGCCAAGACTTGAAGACTATTTGCAAGGCATATTTATTTTGGTGATATGAATATTTAATTTTTCCTTATCCGGAAAGACATTTTAAAGAATGTTAATCAATATTTTTGGGAAATCTTTTAAAGTTTACCCTTGATATCAGCTGTTATCCTCCAAAAGCTTATCTACTTGCATCTCTTCATATTTACTTAAACAATGAAAATATCAACAGATTGTTTCATGAAACATAACAAGCATATTCTAAATTTCTCTAAAGGACTAATACAGAAAAATAGTCAATAGAATTTTGAAGGAGAAAAATATTCCATCAGTTATAAAAACATACTACAAATTTACTCTAACTAAACCATGTGACACAGGCAGGGATGGGCCAACAGCTCATTAGAATATAAGGACTCCAGAAACTGACTTGTATATATATGAGAAAAAATAATATCCAGGAAGAAATAAACAGCATTAAGATAATCAACTAGTGACTGAGAAAAGGTAAAGTCAGTTTACTCTTTTTGAAAATTTAAAAATAATTCATTGATTAATTATTGTGGTGTTGGGGTTGCACCCACAACCTTTGCACTGAGCTACATCCCCAGCCCTTTCTTTAATATTTTGAGACATGGTCTTGATCAGTTGCTAAACTGCCCACTTCTGGAGCTACTGACTCTCTTGCCTCAGCTTTCAGGGTGCTAGGCTTACAGGGGTGTGCCACCATGCCCAGCACTTTTCAAAGGTTTTTGAGATAGAATTTCTCTCTGTAGTCCAGGATGGTCTTGAACTCACTATGTAACCCTGGTTGGCCTCAAATGTGGGGTTCTTTACCTAAGCCTTTGGAGTACTGGCATTATAGGCTGATGCTACCAGGCCCAGTCAGTTTACTCTCTTAAATCATATACAGAAATTAATGTCCAACGAATAAAATTTCTAAGTGTAAAGAAAAAGCGTATGTAAAAGCTGAAATTATAGTTTTATAATCTTGGCCTTTATAAGACACAAAACAATAAAATAAAAAATAATTTTAATATGCAAAAATTTAAACAAAAGATCACTTAAAAGAATTAAAAACAGATTGGAGAAAAATATCACGCCATATGTAATCAAGGGTTAATTATACAATATCTAAGGAGATTTTACTAATCCATATCAAAAAGACAACACAAGGCAAGCATGGTGGTGCATACTTATAATCCCAGTGGCTTGTCAGGCTGGTGCAGGTAGATCTTGAGTTTGAGGCCAGCCAGGGCAACTCAATGAGACCCAGTCTCAAATAAAATTCATAAATGGGCTGGAGATACAGCTCTCTAATACAGCACTTCCCTAGCATGTACACGGCCCTGGGTTCAATCCCCAGTACTACAAAACTGGTTAAAAGTTTTGAATTGGCAAATCAAAGAATAAAAGATGGTCAATAAATATAAATAAAGATGTTTATCCTCATAGAAACCAATAAAACAGAGTATTATTGTTTATCCTCAACTACTCACCTGCCCTAGATTCTGGCGAGAGAGGGGGCACGATGATCATAAACTATGGCTCAGTAACTGAGTGCACTTCAGGAAGATAACTGAGTATTATCTTCCAAAGTGTAAAACATCTACCTAATGACCTAGCAAATGCTCTTAATGGCTTTACCACAAAAATAATGGCATGTGTACACAGAGATACGTGCATGGCAGTGCTTTGATACTGAAAAATTAAAGCCCTTATAAACATCCATCACTGTTCTCACTGTGCAATAATTTATAGCACATTATCTATGGGATGCACATATCTATGTCATCCCAGTGGATGAGACAGATACTAGTAAGGACGGATTTTCTAATGCTGTGTTTGTGTGAGAGAGAGGGTCCATAAACACATGCATACACACACATGTACTATGTGCATACATGATAGTAAATACATAGGAAAATCTCTAGGAGGATCTACCTCTAACTTTTACAAGTGCTTACCTGTGAGAGGGAAAATGAGGTTGAGAAAGGACAAAGGGGGTTAATTTTTACTTAATAAGCTTTTGTATTGTTTGAATGCTTAACTGAAGTATAATTCTTTTGTGTATTAAATGCACATGTGAAAAAGAAAAGGCCATGATTTCTCTCTGTTCCTTAATTTTGTTGTCTTACTTCAAAGAGCAAGACAGAACAGAAACAACCTCTTTCACTCAATATATTTACTTTTCATAAAATGAGAACATCCCTAAAAATGTATTGTTTCTATCTGATTACTTTCTGCTGTACTTTACTCAGATTTCACGCTATCCAATCAGATATTACGATTTCTGGGAAAACTACGCGGAAGCAACACTGTTCTGAGTGACAGTGTGGGCTGATGCCGTGATGCAGCTCACGGTGTGGGCTCAACCTCTCAAACACAGGCCATTTTCCAGTTGCCTGGAGGCCCCAGCCAGCGCGATGTTGCCATAAATAATCCCGCCTCTTGTTTTATGATCAACTTTCCTGGAAAAGTGCAACTTCAGGTGCCACATTTGAGCCTGGACTTTTTCTGACCCCAGAAGTGGCAGGGAGAGACAAAGTCTGGCTCGATAAGGGCACATCACTGGTCCAAGGGTGGGTTACGACAGGACAAAGCTCTCCATAGAGGAAACTGCACATTCAGGATGGTGGAAAGCTCTATGTGCAAATACAAACAGACAGGAGAGGGTGAAAGCACGCAAATGAAGGAGAAAACCCCTAGGAGAAAGGGACTTTCTTCTCCACGCCTGACCCTGACATTTGAGGAAGAGCTATGGAGCACACCTGCGACCAGAGTCGCCACAAACTCCATGAGTTGCTACTGAATAACTAGATTCTGCTGCTCTTCCTTTGGCAGGTCACATAATCCTCAGCACAGGACACCACTGCCAGCGCCAGAGACCACCTGGGACCAGGAACACCAAGAAGTGCACCTACCCTACAGAGGCTGTTTCTAGACTAGGAAATTAGTTTTTATTTTCTGAAAAGTCAGAATGCGGTCTTCTTCATGAAAGCATTTGTCTTTGTTTTTTTTAAAAATCAAATCAATTTTTAAAGATCTGACTTCTGTGAAGATTTTTAGGAATGCACCTGTGATGTAGAACAAGGCTCAAACATCTGTGAGAGAGAAGGAACCAGGACACCTGTGACATGTGGGAGCAGATCACTCAGGTCCCTTCTGATTTTAGTAGTTTGTGAAACTGAAGTGCACAGGGAGGAAAAATAGTAGAAAAGTTGGTATAGTCCAGATCCTAAGTGTGCCCAAGGGCCCCAATGCCCCCACTGGCAAGTGGAAGCTTTAAGGGGGGGATGCCTAGTGGGAGGCCTTTCATCCACTGGGGTAACACTGAAGGGGTTGTGGAACGCTGCTCTCTTCTTGTTCCCTGAGATGAGCTGGGTGGTTCTGCTACTCACCACTGCCATGATGAGTAGCCTTGTTATAGGGCCCCAAACAACAGATCAACTGACCATGGACTAAAACCTCCGAAACTGTGAACCAGAATAAACTTTCCTTTTTATAAGTTGGTTATCTCAGGTCTTTGTTACAGTAATGGACAAGCTGACTAACACAGTAGTTATCTGCAGTACCAATAAAAATTGGATTCCCATTCTAAGTTGTATCTTCTAAAAATTCAGCTGCCATCCTAACTTATGTCTACTGTGAGCCCAAAGCAACATGTGTGTGCCCATGCTGACAGTCACCAGCATCTGCTCCGGGCACAGAGCTTCCAAGAGTTGGTTCCAAAGCAGAATAAGTGACGTTGACACTTGTCTTCTGGCCCAGAAAATAAAACTAAGAAGAAAGCCAAGATGTAGTCCTTAAAAATGATTCAGACTTCATGGAAAGAAAAAAATATTTAATTTTAGAAATTCTTATTGAGCATGATTAGCCATAGTGTTTCTAAAAGAGATAGCTGAATTTATCATGAAATTTTAGAAGTTTGCAACATCCGCTAGTCACATCTTTAAAGCTGCCACATTGACCATTAGGTTACTAATAAAAAGAAACAAGGGTGAATATGGGAAAGGCAGAAATGTCCATGTGATGGCCATTTTATACTGAAAAAAGATTTAAATTGTGATAAAACAGACCTCACACAAAATTTACCATCTTAAGCATTTTCAGTATGCTAAACTTACCTTGTAAATTGTCGACTCTCTTCATGAACTTCCATTTCTGTGCTTTTAAATTCATTTAGTTCTTTCCTTATTGCTGCCTAAACAGAAAATAGATCAGTAGGTATTATTATTTAGGTCACAGTCTATACAGTATCAATGAAGGAGACACTCTTTTAAGAAATATCTGGGAGAGAGACAAGGATTCCTAATTTCCACCAGATAAAGGTATAATAAATATTACATCATTCAGATTATGTATCCCTAATCTGAAAAATCTGAAAGGAGAAATGCTATAAAATCTGAAACCACATGATACCACAAGTGGAAAACTCCACGCCAACTTGTGTGACTTTTGAAAAATGCAGGTGCACTAAAACTCTTGTATAAAAATGACCTTCAGGATATGTGCATACAGCAAATACAAAACATAAATGAATTTTGTGTTTAGACTTGGGCTCCATCCCCAAGACAGCTCACCATGTATTGCCAAGAATCCAAAATCTGAAAAAAAATCCACAATCAGAAACACTTGTGATGCCAAGGTTTTTGGATGAAGGAGATTCAGCATGGAAAGTCAAACAGTAACCAGGACAGACTTCCTTCAAGTGTCCAAGAGGAAGGGAACCTTGGTCAGACCCATCCTTGGGCCTGGTCTGTGAGTCACACAGAATGTCCCCACTTATGAGCACAAGAAAGTACAAGGCAAGAGGTTTTCTGAGAAACAATACCTTGTTCCTATGGAAGTTCTGCATCTAGTACCACCCACGAGTCGGCTTTGACTAGCTGCCACAGAGCTGCTGGGAAAGCAGTTACTATTTATTCATTTAATACTGAAAGTTTAGATAAGCAACTTAAAACTTCAGCCCAGCACTTGAAGCAACTCAAAGAAAATATCAAAAGAGCATCCTCGATGCATTACTATTTAAAGAACACATAAGCAGTCCTATATAAATTTTGGTGTACAAAGAGATGGTTATGTTATTCAGACTGAAAAGCTGAGACACTGATTGAAATATTAGCCGGGGATTTAGCTCAGTGGTTTCGCCACCTGCTGCGCAAGTGCAAGGACCTGAATTTGATCCCCGGTACCAAAAAAAAAAAAAAAAAGAAAAAGTAATGTTAACCTTAGCTATCTGTTAACAAAGAGAGGCAGGGTCATGCATGGCTTTTGGTTTCAATTTTTTGCTTATTTTTACTTCCTATTTTTCCTATAAAGAATGTTTTGCTTGAGATTAAAAAAACCAAAAAACCCCCCTGCAAAATGGACTCTTCAGCCAAAACAAGGAATGACAATGTAAACTCTAGAGAATGCTTCCTGGAGAGATAAGAAAATCCACTTTGTGGTTGGAAAACAATGAATTTTAGAAAAAGGAAAGGTCTCTTTGTGGCTCTCTCCTGTCACCTGCCACCATTCTGTGATCCACAGGCACTGGGGACTCTGCTAATGAGCCTCCCTGCTGGCTTTTGGAAGAGCTGAAGCGAGCAGAGCAGTATATGTGAGTCCAGCCCCCTCGTGACACAGTCATATAGCTTGTCATTCTCACAAGTCACACCAAGTGGATTCTAGTCTTGGCTGTGCCCTCAGCGCAAGTGTGACCCACAGAGAGTCACTTTTCCATTGCACTGGTTTAGGTCCCTGCTCCCCAAAGATTTGGGTATTAAAGGCTCGTTCTCTAGGGTGGCACTATGGGGAGGTGATGTGGAGCTTGACAAGGTGGGGTCTTATGGGAGGTCCTGAGGTCCCTGACAGCACTGTCCCCAAAGGGGCTGGGGACCCTGGCCTGTGCTTTGTTTTTCTGGCTCATGTTGTAAGTGGTCTGCTGCACAACACACTCCTACCACTGCCACCTGATGGCCCACTAGAGGTCACAGTCAGGGGTCACTCGATCTCGCACTGGAACCTCCATAACCATTAGCCAATATAAACTCTTGGTCTTTATAAGTTAATGGCTGTAGGTTATTTTGTTACAGTGACAGAAAGCTGATTATAACCCACCTAGAAAACGAGGATGAGAATTTCTCAAAATATTATGAGTATTAGTTAAAGGCATATTTGAAAGTGTTTTCTATAATGTCAAGTGAGCAATAAAACGCATGCGTGTGTGTGTGGTACCTGGGATTGAACCCAGGGCCTTCACACTAAGCTACATCCCAGCTCCCCAGTCCTTTTTATTTTGAGACAGGATCTCACTAAGTTACTAAATTACCCAGGCTGGGCTAGAAATTGGGATTCCCCTGACTCATCCTACCTCAGTGCAGGGATTACAGATATGCACCACCATGCCTAGCTATTATGAGGCTTTTGAGAAACAAGTATTTTGATTTGTGAATATGGCAAATAATTCTTCCATTTTTATTTATGGAGAGTCTACTGGAGTGCAAGAATATGTCACTGAAGGAGATAAATGTAAATAAAACAAAGTCTTCATTTGAAATAATAGGTTGGCAAATGATCTAAGAGTTTGGCAAAAACCAGTGAAAGCACTCTGATCAAATCAACTGGGACATGGGATTTACAAAACAGTACAATTGTAAATTGTGTGCTACATACCCTTTATATTAATAAAATTTACAATTCTCTAATGACCATATGCACCTTACCTACCCCACCAGAACCAGTTAAACATCTATGTGCAAATCCCATATTCTCATCTGCAATGTGACTTTGCCATTCTCTTAGCAAGAGGTGGATTCTACCTTTTCATCCTTGAGTCTTGGAACCACTCTGAGTGATAAAACAGCAGAGGTGACACTGTGTTATGATGAGGCCTAATCCTTTCCTGACCTGGCAACTTCTGGTTCTTAGAAGCTGGCTGCATTGGAAAAGCATACGGCCACTCTCAGGAGACCACACTGAGGAGCCTCAGGTACGTGGAAAGGGCCTGGGGATGGAGATGCCATAGATAGGGACCCAGGAGCAAGAAGGCATAGACATGTTCCATGTTCTCTGGCCCTCGATCTCACATGATACCGTACGGGTCAGAAACAAACCCTGAGCTGAGCTGTTCCCAAATCTCTTCCTCACTAATGTGTGAGTGAAATAAATAGCTGTTTTAGGTCACTAGGTTTTGGGGTGGTTTGTTGCAGAGCAGCTGATGACCTGAACACTGTGCCAAGGACTTTTATCTTACAGAAGATAATGTGAAGGCCCAGAGAGGCCATGTGACCTGCTGGTTATCAAGGAGGCATTAAGTGACAAGGCCTATACACAGGCCTTCAAATCCTGTACATTTTTCAAGAGAAGGAGCTTCAGGCCTAAGTCATCCAGATAACTGCCTCAGATCTTCATGTTCTGTGTGCTGGGTTCTGATTAGAAATTATGAGTCAGCTACTTAAATGATGTAGCAATGAGTGTGATATAAGATGACAGGGATGAGATGTTTGAGAAATGTAATACAAAGACAACTGCAGACAATCAAAAAAAATATTCAACTTAAAAATTCACTGAAGACTGACCACAGTTTTAGTCCAAGAGTTACTTCTTCTTGGAACAGAAAGATTTCTTGGCAGAGTTTAAAAGAGGAATTAAATGTTTTATATTAGTGAAATATAGGTATGGTAATATTAACTTTCTTGTCTGCAAATGAGTCCAGAGCTTAAGCTGAATGCTCCCATGTGAGTGCTAAAGGGGGTGATTTTGTGGAAAGATGCAGGACAGGAATGGTTGGAGCCCAGATGGTGCTGGGCTGGGACCCTCAGTGGGAGGGGACTGAGCTTAAACCTGGTGTTTCTAGGATAAAAGCAAGGAAACCAAAAACCACTGGGAGATAGTACAGAGTTAGTAGTACTCAGTTGTTTTTTTAGTATTTCAAGGAAGGCAAAATAAAATAAACTGAAATGACAGAAACTAAGTTTAAAATGGGCTATTGGTGGGCAGTGATCAAAGTTCTACTCTGTCAGCCTCCAGCAGCTCAAGGACCTCCTGGCAGGAAGCAAAGGTGATTTGGTGGTAATGTGCACCCCGAGCCTTCTCAAATAGCATGAGTGTGTGGTCAGAACGATCCAGAATTTCCATTTTGAAATCTTTTATTTATTTGATAGAATTCTTTTTTTTGGGACTGGGGATCGAACTCGGGACCTTGGACTTGCTAGGCAAGTGGCAAAAACACTGAGCTAAAGCCCCTGCCCAATTTGATAGAATTCTGATATGGAACAGAGGGGATTTCTGATTACTGATCCAAGTGCCGTGTCAGGGGAAGATAAGTGTACCCCTTTCTGCTGCCCATGCAACCAAGAACTGGCTGATGAATAACCTGTAAAGAATGAAAATCTCACTCTTTCCCAGCATCTGTTTAGTCAGTGCATTCCTGGAAAGACAGCATGTTTTATTCATCTTTATATCCCTAGTATTTGGGATAGTACTTGATACATTTTGTTTTAATAAATGATTACTAGGTGAACTGTTGGGAAAATCTATGTATCATCTAAAAAAATTTGCACTCACATTCACTAAAAATTATAGACTAGACTGTAAGCCAAGGCTTCCATAAACAGTGAAAATGTCATCCATGAGGAGCAAAGCTTGGATTCTTTTTTTTTTTTTCGTACTAGGGATCGAACTCGGGACCTTGTGTTTGTGAGGCAGGCGGCAGAACCACTGAGCTAAATCCCCAGCCCAAAGCTTGTATTCTTGAACCTGACCACAAGTGCAATCCTGGTAAGAGCTGCCACTAACTGATGAGCCGGAACAATACAGATATTCTACCTAATTCTCAATGCGATGCTTGTTCATTTATCTGGCCCTGCTGCCTTTCTGAAATTCAGATGTTAACTGGCTATACTTTACTAAATGACTCAGCAAGAAAACCAGGGGCCAAGTCAGGAATCAAAGCCAGAACTGCCCAGCTCCAAAGCTTGTCCTCCTTTCTCAGCTCCAAGGCCTCCATACTTCACTCCAGGAAGGCGACAATTAAAATACTAGGCATGGCATTAAAGATTGTCATATGTGTACTGAATAGCTGGTAATAGAGTAAAATCTACTTTGACACTAAAGTAAGACAAACGATGGGACTGTATTTGACTTCAGGGCTAATCCGATGAACCTGAGGGGCGATTTATGTAACCTGGTGACATATAGAATGTAAGAGACATCTGTCCA